TTTTTATTTCAAAAATTAACTGGTTTACGGCTCCGTGAAGTCCTTTGGAAATTTGAGCCTAATAAATAAACTGATTGGATAAAAAACAAACTGCTACGAAGTTTTATATATTGAAATTAAGATCCCTGAAATTCTTAGAAATTTTCAGAAATTCTATAAAGTTTTCCGCAAGACGAAGTTTCCGGAACTTGTTCCAAACTTCAACAATTTGCCGTGACATTAAAAGCGGGTCCCCGAAAATTCATGAGATTCCCTGAAATTAAACGATTTTTCCTTAACTTCTATGAACTTCCTCGTGCTTTTACAAAGCTCCCACTTAAACTCAGTTTCCTGAATTTCTACAAATTTCCCTACGAAGTTCCCAGAAATCCTACCAAGTTTCCTCCGATGAGAGCCAGCCTTTGGCTGAACGAAACCTACGAAGTTTCCTGAATTTATGATCTTCTGTGAAGTCACTGAAGCTTTGCGATCAAAAAATTTCTCTGAATTTATCTGAGGTTCGTCAAATTTTTGGAAAGTTCAATTCAGTTCTACGAAATTCCATTTGGGGAATTTCTTCAGACTTTTTGGCACTTCTATGAAGTTTAATGAAGTTCTTCTAAGAGCGCTAAGCTTCTAAAACTTTTGCTGCACTTCTAGAAATATTCCTAAACTTCTACGCAGTTTCCTGAACTTCTATGAAGTTCCCTATTTTTCTACGAAGTCTCATGAAGTTTCCTGATTTTTTTCAATGTTTCCTGAAGTTCTACGAAGTTCTCTGAAGATCTCTAAAGTTGTACAGAATTCACTGAACCTTAACTGAATTATCTGCATTTCTATGAAGTAAGATAAAATTCTATATAATGTGCTGAACTTCTTGAAAGTTTTCTAAGCTTCTACGCAGTTTTCTGAACTTCTACGAAGTTTCCTTAAATTCTACAAAGTTTCCTGAAATTCTATACGAAGTCTCATGAAGTTTCCTGGTATTTTCGATGTTCCCTGAATTTATACGAAGTTTCCTAAAATTCTACGAAGTCTCATGAAGTTTCCTGATTTTTTCGATGTTCCCTGAATTTCTACGAAGTTTCCTGAATTTCTACGAAGTTTCCTGAATTTCTACGTAGTTTCCTGAAATTCTACGAAGTCTCATGAAGTTTCTTGTTTTTTATGGTTCCTTAATTTCTACGAAGTTTCCTGAAATTCTACGAAGTCTCATGAAGTTTCCTGATTTTTTTCGATGTTTCCTGAATTCCTACGAAGTTTCCTGAAATTCTACGAAGTCTCATGAATTTTCCTGATTTTTTTTCAATGTTCCCTGAATTTCTACAAAGTTTTCTGAAATTCTGTGAAGTCTCATGAAGTTTCCTGATTTTTTAGATGTTCCCTGAATTTCTACGTAGTTTCCTGAAATTCTACGAAGTCTCTTGAAGTTTCTTGTTTTTTATGGTTCCTTAATTTCTACGAAGTTTCCTGAAAGTCTACGAAGTCTCATGAAGTTTCCTGATTTTTTTTTCGATGTTCCCTGAATTTCTGCGAAGTTTCCTGAAATTCTACGAAGTCCCATGAAGTTTCCTGATTTTTTAGATGTTGCCTGAATTTCTACGAAGTTCCCTGAAATTCTACGAAGTCTAATGAAGTTTCCTGAGTTTTTACAATGTTCCCTGAATTTCTACAAAGTTTTCTGAAATTCTATGAAGTCTCATAGAGTTTCCTGATTTTTTTTCAACGTTCCCTGAATTTCTACGAAGTTTCCTGAACATCTATGAAGTCTCATGAAGTTTCCTGATTTTTTTCGATGTTCCCTGAATTTCTACAAAGTTTTCTGAAATTCTACGAAGTCTCATGAAGTTTCCTGATTTTTTAGATGTTCCCTGAATTTCTACGAAGTTTTCTGAAATTCTACGAAGTCTCATGAAGTTTCCTGATTTTTTCGATGTTCCCTGAATTTCTACGAAGTTTCCTGAATTTCTACGTAATTTCCTGAAATTCTACGAAGTTTCATGAAGTTTCGTGCTATTTATGGTTCCTTAATTTCCACGAATTTTCCTGAAAGTCTACGAAGTCTCATGAAGTTTCCTGATATTTTTTTCAATGTTCCCTGAATTTCTGCGAAGTTTCCTGAAATTCTACGAAGTCTCATAAAGTTTCCTGATTTTTTCGATGTTCCCTGAATTTCTACGAAATTTCCTGAAATTCTAGTTTCCTGAACATCTATGAAGTCTCATGAAGTTTCCTGATGTTTTTCGATGTTCCCTGAATTTTTACGTAGTTTCCTGAAATTCTACGAAGGCTCATGAAGTTTCTTGTTTTTATGGTTCCTTAATTTCTACGAAGTTTCCTGAAATTCTACGAAGTCTCATGAAGTTTCCTGATTTTTGTCGATGTTCCCTGAATTTCTAAGAAGTTTCCTGAAATTCTATGAAGTCTCATGAACTTTCCTGATTTTTTTCGATGTTCACTGAATTTCTACGAAGTTTCCTGAATGTCTACGAAGTTTCTTGAAATTCTATACGAAGTCTCATGAAGTTTCCTGATTTTTTTTGATGTTCTCTGAATTTCTACGAAGTTCCCTGAAATTCTACGAAGTCTCATTAAGTTTCCTGATTTTTTTTCGATGTTCCCCGAATTTCTACTAAGTTTCCTAAAACTCTACGGAGTCTAATGAAGTTTCCTGATTTTTTTCGATGTTTCCTAAATTTCTACGAAGGTTCCTGAAATTATGAAGTCTCATGAGGTTTCCTGATTTTTTCAATGTTGCCTGAATTTCTACGAAGTTTCCTGAAGTTCTATACGAATTCTCATGAAGTTTCCTGATTTTTGTCGATGTTCCCTGAATTTCTAAGAAGTTTCCTGAAATTCTATTCGAAGTCTCATGAAGTTTCCTGATTTTCGTCTATGTTCCCTGAATTTCTACGAAGTCTCATGAAGTTTCCTGATTTTTTTTTTCAATATTCCCTGAATTTCTACAAAGTTTCTTGAAATTCTACGGAGTCTCATGAAGTTTCCTGATTTTTTTTCAATATTCCCTGAATTTCTTCAAAGTTTCCCGAAATTCTACGAAGTCACACGAAGTTTCCTTATTTTTTAGATGTTCCCTGAATTCCTTCGAAGTGCCTTGAAGCTCTACGAAGTCTCATAAAATTTCCTGTTTTTTTAGATGTTCGCTGAATTTCTCTGAAGTTCCCTGAAGCACTTTGAAGTTGTACAGAACTCACTTAACTTTTATTGAATTATTTGTATTTCTATGAAGTTCAATGAAGTTCTTCGAAGATCGCTAAACTTCTACAAAGTAAGATTCTTCTAAAGTAAGTAAGAACTTCTTTAATAATGTGTTGCACTTCTAGAAAGTTTCTTAAACTTCTACGCAGTTTCCTGAATTTCTACGAAGTTTCCTGTAATTCTATACGAAGTCTCATGAAGTTTCCTGATTTTTTACAATGTTCCTTGAAATTCTTCGAAGTTTTCTAAAGCTCTATTACATTGCCAGAAAGCCTACGAAGTTTTCTAGAAATTCTACGATGGTCCCCTATCGGTTTAGAAAAATCCTTGAACTTCAAAGAATTTCTATAAATTTATCAACGGTTCGCTAAATGTTTACAAAGTTCAATTAAGGTTTACAGAGTTAATAAAACTTCTACTGAATTCCTATGAAGTTCAATGAAGTTCTTGGAAGTTCGCTAAACTTCTGCAAAGTAAGGCGAACTTCTAAATAAATTTAAACAATCTTTTAAATTTGTCGAACCCCTTAACGGAATCCCTCTATGAAGAGCTTTGAGTGTGTTGGTTTATTTACTTTAAATTCCGTTATAATTGCTTATCTTTTGACAGATACGCGTAGTTCGTCTACTACTTGATGAAGTCTGCAAAGCTCGTCATAATTATGAAAAGTTTCGTGCAAACCGATTCGTTATTTGGCGTGGAACTGCTCAAAGTGAGGTTAGCTTTTGCGGGCACTGATCACTTGCAGCCGAATAACAATCAAAAGGCAGTGCTGCCATATTTCTTGCCAAGTGGTACTCTATTTTCGTATGATCATCACTTTGTTCTGAAACTCACTGAATTGTAAATAATCTTACTGCTACATGCTGTTCAACTATGACAGAAGTGAAACCTAACCACACAATCCAATGTACTTCAAAAACGGTGCATGTTTTCCGGAACAATAATCTCTCGAATAAATTACCCGTGTCAGAGACCTCGCTGGAACACCGTACGGCACTGCCGTTATAGCTTCAATCTTTAAACGATGCAAATTTACCTTTTTTTTAATACTGTCAACATATGCGTAAACGATGCCGGTAGAGGCCGCCCCACAGAGCCCCAGCTGTGCCAACTGTCATCCCATATCATTGCTTTCTGCCACTAGCGCCATCTGTGTCTCGCCGCGTCCGCCCGTGACGGGCGGGGGCGGGGGTTAGAACTTTAATTTTCGCCGATTCATATTGACCGTGTATTTATAATTTATGTTTGTGTTTGGTTACCATGATAACCGCTTCCGCCTTGGTGCCGTTGGCGGAATTTCTCAGCACCTACTAAATAGTGGCGGAATGCATCGTCGTCATCATCGTTGCGCCCACTACAATCTATATGATCGCCTGCTTGCTCGTTTTCAGCCCCTTCTTATCTGGGATGCGATGCGGACATTGGGTAAATATTTGCCAAACCTTAGAGACAGCCAGGTACGAGGTACGGACGTGAGAAATGCGTACAAACAGCTGTCTTTTCAGCGCCCTCTGCCTGCAACTAGAACTCAACTTCAACTCGAGAGTGGCTTTGCGTTCGCTCTGGTGATAAGGCGGCCGGAAAGGTCGCCCTTCTCTAGACTCTTATAACTCAATGTAACCACAATGTTGCGTGTGCGTGTCAATATTGACACTTTTCCCTGCATTGGTAGTGCGGCGTCTTCGTCTAATGTTCTTGTAGTCGCAGCTCGTTTCGCCAGTTCATTGAATATTAATATGCGCATTGTTGTCCAAACATATTCTACTAACTTTCCCCCCTGCTTTCCTATCCACTTTCAGCTATGCGAGGAACAAAACTGCCAGGAAGAGGTCTCACTGCTCAGTCTTAGCTATATGGACCGGTTTCTCAGCTTGGTGCCGATCCGAAAAACACACCTCCAGATACTGGCCACGGCGTGCCTGCTGTTGGCGTCGAAACTCCGCGAACCAAACTACAAGGCCCTGCCCGTGGAGCTGCTAGTATTCTACACCGATCACAGTATCACCAAGAAGGATCTGATCGTAAGTATCGTACTTGTTTGTTTGTGCGAAATCCGTGGGGCTACGGGCAAGGTCACAGTTGCTGTTCATCCGGGAAGCCAACCGCGGGTTCCTAAATTGGTCGATAAAGGGGGGCGCTTTTGCACCCCTCTTTCGGTCATTAAATATTCATAAGCGAGAAGCTGCGCGGCATAAATCAGTCTTAGTCCTTTTAAAATGCAGATCGGTGCGGATATGTCGGAACTCAGGGATGAATTCGGGTTGTTTGATTTGATCGAACTTATCGTTTATCTGTCAAAACTATCTCACTCAAGCCGATCAATGGATTAGGTCCTAAGCAACTTTTATCGATTGTCCTTCGTTAATGTCTTACTACAAACCCGTTTCATGACAGATAATAGCTTCTTTTATCGAACTGTGTGTTGAAAACGGCATGGATCCATGGACCTAATCCATTATTCGGCTTGATCTGAGCTCCAACCCTGATCGAGGAAAGGAATGCACTGTCCACGTCCCATTTTCTCGTCGCTCGGTGTTAGTTTACAGTTGATTTCGCCATTCGCACCGGGCGAATAAATTACCCGGCCATGTAAAACGTTTCGTCTTTCGTTGCACTCTTCGTGTTTGACCCCCGAAAAAAAAAACACAAAATTCCAGCGAATGTGTATCGATGCATTGCTCTGCGGTCGGCACGGATCGATCGATCGATCGATCGGTGCAGGAAGCGAAGGGGACACGTTTGACTTATCTCAGATGTTGGCACAACATTCGGCCTTTGTTCTGACACTTTGCTCCTCGTCCTCCTCCGGTTGACGACGACGCATCATCATCAGTGAAGGGCGCAGATTCACGATGACGGCCGGAGCACTGAGTTGCAATCGCAGAAAAGGAGGAATGTGGTGCCAATTAGAAATAATTTATGGGCGTTGCAATCGGGGCGGATTGCAGAGAAAGCGCCCTTCGGGTAGTGGTTGACTTTTGGTGACAGTTTGACAGTTAGTGCAAATCCCGCCTAAGATTTAAAAAAAAAAACCGCACCTAGGATTTCATTCATCCCGTAATTTTTATTGAGCATAGCACCATAACCTCACTTTTTTTTTTTTCTTCCGTGGAATCAACTTCTAAGAAATTCAAAACAAAACCTTCCCATCGCCAACGAACGTATTCAGAAGGTGAGAACAAGCTCATAGACCGGCATTTTTCGTTTTATTACTTTATTTGTGTGACTTTTCGGAATTTTAGAGCCTGGATTCGATTGGAATCGCCTGATGATCGGCTCTTCCCGCGCGCCCCCTATCAGAAACGATCAATCACTTCTGGATCTCGCTTTAACGATTATTGCAAGCCCGGTGGTGATTCTTGATTTCAAATTTTTGTGAAAAATGTCAGATCTAATCGGCCGGTTCTCCCGTCGTCGTGATGCATCTCCGGCGAGCCCAAAAGAGCGTGTAAGGAGGTAAATAAATAATATCAAAAGTAATTTTTATTACCGTAATTTATCAACGCGCAGAATGAATGAGTTGGAGAGCGAGAAAAAGGTGAAGTCACGGAACGAGATTAGAGTTGGCAGATAAGATTGCAGGCAGCGCTCTTCACGCGCTCTCTCATGCGAGTCACTCGTCGGTGAGCTTACCGATTGTGGTTGTCCTGCGCAAAATTCACCAGAAATCGTTACAGGATACATTTTGCCGAAGAGATTGGGGTTGACCGGGACCTTTTGATCCTTTTCGAACGACCATCATCATCTTCTTCAAGTGCAACCTCTTGATCCTTCCAGGAATCGATCGATCCTACAAATTCCTTCGACTAGTTGCTCTCACTCACTTCGAACACACAAATAAAAACGGGTCATAAAATCGAACGGATGCCAGGAATGTTGACGTTCCACGGCAGTGACTCTCACTTTTTATGACGAAACTCAAAAAATAAATCCATCTTTGTTAAGGTGAGAAGCGCCGCCATGTTTCGGTCGCATCGAATTGCCTAAACTTTCGTCTAATGTTTCTCCCTTTCTCGCTTTGCTTTGACAGCCATCCCGAGAGAGAGCCTGACCCCACTTAATTATGCAACTTCGTGACCCGTTCGGACAGCCTCCGCTTCGCCTCCTTCCAGCAGGACAATAATGTTCCATACGACAAACCTTTTCGGTCTGATCAATTTTTCCGAAAAAATCTCGAATTTCGTCGCAGCAACCGGCGAAAAAATTCCAGGAATCGAAATTTTCTGTTCTCCCCGTCGTCGCCAGCCGCCGCCTCTGCGCGCGCGTGTTCGGACCCGAAGTTTATCGCCAATCTCTCTTGCTCTCCCCCCATTCTTCCTCCCGTTTCCATTCGTTCGTGTCGCGCGCGTCAAGATAAAAGCGAAAATGTTCGGGTTGTTCTTGTTTGCCCGAGCAGGATTCGTCGGGGTCTTCGGACAAAAACATTCAAATGTACAACGAACGAAGGTTGTGTTGTTTGTTGATTGGGTGAAACCTTAAACTTTTTCCTCGCCCGGAAAGTGGACGAGGAAATTGCGAGGGCTCGCGGGAGGAACCCCGGATAGCCCGGCAAGAAAGAAGTTACCGAAACATCCATATATTATTTTTTGCTAAATCCGCATGTGCTTTTAAAGGGATCCGAGCTGTGTGTTTGTTATCAGGCAAAAACACGGCGGACGGAAGGAAAAAGAAAGAATCAAGCCGAATCTGGCCGTTGCACGGAATTCTTCTTTTGAATCAGCGTACCGCGAATAGGGTTACCATGGCAACCCAACGACTACCGAACGGGCATCTGTCAAGTGACACTGACTGCAGTGTTGCTAGCTTTTCCGGTTCCGAATTCGGCGAACCAAAACCAGCCTGGTAACCCTAAGCTTTTCCAGCCGAATTTGCATGACCGGGTAGAATTCGGGTGGCGCAAAACCGGCTCCTTAATCGCGAGCGAGCAAGCAAAACAAGGTCCTCGCATTCCCACGAATGTCAGCATGTTTCCCTGCGCGCTCCGCCCTTGACCCGCGAGGTGTACTTTCGGGGAGTCCTGTTGGAATGTTTTAATCCATGGTGGTTGATTCTCGCGCAATTAAATGCCGATTTACTGACTGCCGGACGGACCAGACTTGCCAATTACCACCCGGAGAAGGAGGCGGAGGAGCCCCAATCGTATCGGTCGCGACCTTGACTACTGCTGCGGGAGCGACTGATGGCAGCAGTCTGGGCTGTGGATTAATTGAAGGCCTTCAACCGTCGTTGAGCGGTCAGACGACGATGACGACGGACGGATTCTCGGAAGATCCATCCGAAATTAATTTAGCGCTGCTTCATTTGAATAAGGGCTCTGTGTGTCCCAGTCAAAGCAAGCCATGAAGCAGCGAGGGCAAAGGGTTAATTCCCATTAAGAGCTACAATGTTGGATGAATTCGAATGACGACGATGACGAGAGTGGCGACGGCGCCAATCAGCTGTTGATTATTTTCGTGTGCTGCCTTTCATAATCATCATCACGAGCTGTAAATAACAGCTGATAGAACGGTCTATCTCGAAGAGCAAAATAAAAAAAGGGGAACCATGCGCGGACAGCGCTTATCGCATTTTTTTTCCTGTGCAGCCTGTCGTCAGCCGAATGGACATCTCTTAGCTTAAGTATTGGAAAGGAAGTCGTCCGCATGTGTGGAGGCGATCCGAACGGAAGTTTGTAGGTTTCGAGAAGCTGATGTAAATCGGAAATGATACAGCACGGCAATTGGTGGCAGTACTGTTCGACGTTATTTCGTTGTTGACTCTAATCTGCTTCTGATAAACCCACTGGGGTTCTGGTGAAGCCACTGGGGCTTCTGGTGAAGCCACTGGGGCTTCTGGTGAAGCCACTGGGGCTTCTGATAAAGCCACTGGGGTTCTGGTGAAGCCACTGGGGCTTCTGGTTAAGCCACTGGGGCTTCTGGTGAAGCCACTGGGGCTTATGGTGAAGCCACTGGGGCTTCTGGTGAAGCCACTGGGGCTTCTGGTGAAGCCACTTGGGCTTCTGGTGAAGCCACTGGGGCTTCTGATAAAGCCACTGGGGTTCTGGTGAAGCCACTGGGGCTTCTGGTTAAGCCACTGGGGCTTCTGGTGAAGCCACTGGGGCTTATGGTGAAGCCACTGGGGCTTATGGTGAAGCCACTGAGGCTTTTGGTGAAGCCATTGGGGCTTCTGGTGAAGCCACTGGGGCTTCTGGTGAAGCAACTGGGGCTTCTGGTTAAGCCACTGGGGCTTCTGGTTAAACCACTGGGGCTTCTGGTGAAGACACGTGGGCTTATAGTGAAGCCACTGGGGCTTATGGTGAAGCCACTGGGGCTTCTGGTGAAGCCATTGGGGCTTCTGGTGAAGCCATTGGAGCTTCTGGTGAAGCCACTGGAGCTTGTGGTGAAGCCATTGGGGCTTCTGGTGAAGCCATTGGGGCCTCTGGTGAACCCACTGGGCCTTCTAGTGAAGCCACTGGAGCTTCTGGTAAAGCCACTGGGGCTTCTGGCCACTGGGGGCTTCTGGCCACTGGGGCTTCTGGTGAAGCCACTGGGGCTTATGGTGAAGCCACTGGGGCTTATGGTAAAGGCACTGGGGCTACTGGTGAAGCCACTGGGGCTTCTGGTGAAGCCACTGGGGCTTCTGGTGAAGCCACTGGGGCTTCTGGTGAAGCCACTGGGGCTTCTGGTGAAGCCACTGGGGCTTCTGGTGAAGCCACTGTGGCTTCTGGTGAAGCCACTGTGGCTTCTGGTGAAGCCACTGGGGCTTCTGGTGAAGCCACTGGGGCTTCTGGTGAAGCCACTGGGGCTTCTGGTGAAGCCACTGGGGCTTCTGGTGAAGCCACTGGGGCTTCTGGTGAAGCCACTGGGGCTTCTGGTGAAGCCACTAGGGCTTCTAGTGAAGCCACTGGGGCTTCTGGTGAAGCCACTGGGGCTTCTGGTGAAGCCACTGGGGCTTCTGGTGAAGCCACTGGGGCTTCTGGTGAAGCCACTGGGGCTTCTGGTGAAGCCACTGGGGCTTCTGGTGAAGCCACTGGGGCTTCTGG